GGAGGCTTTTTAATTTTAAAAAAGCATTTTTCTAGTTTCCAGACAGTAACTTGTGATCAAGTGTATGGATCTCTCTAAAATTGTACTACAAGGTTCCATACTACAAAGGAAAGACTGCAATTGAGTTTGGTTAATGCTAAAAGGGGGATTCAAAAAATTTGGGGGGAGGGGGGGTTTCCAATTTTTTTTTAAAAGGGTTCATATTTTTTTTCAAAATTTTCAAAATTTCAAATTTTTGAAAAGTTTCAAGAAGAAATCTTCAATTGCACAGTATTGCGCATTAGATTTGTAAGATCTTTGACCACATTTATTTTGTGTCAGAAACCTATATTATGTCAAAAATTTGATCACAATCCAAATTCAGATAGTATCAAGCTTGAATATTGTGTCCAAACTTGCCCCAACTGTTCAGGGTTCGACCACTGCGGTCGTATCAGGCTGCGCTCAGTGAAGCATTTTATTAAGATATAAGCCAAAACTGCATTTTACCCCTATGTTCTATTTTTAGCTATGGCGGCCATGTTTTTGGGGAAACAGAAAATAGGACACAAATTTTATTCGTAGATACCCTAATGATCATTCAGCTTAAGTTTGGTTGGAATTGGTTCAGTAGTTTCAGAGATGAAGATGTTTGAAATAGTTTACACCGGATGGACAACAAAGGACGCCAAGTGATGGCAAAAGCTCACCTTTCCTATAAAGGTGAGCTAAAAAAGTAAAAAAAAAAGCTAATAAGATCTGCAAGAAAACAACATGGCCAGATTATCACACTAGTTAAGGATTTATTGCCAATAAATGATTTTTTTATTTCAAAAACTTAAGTAGATGGGTATCAACTGTAAACAGTAAAATTGGATAATCAGTACAGGACCTACAAAAATGCCACAAAACAGGATCTACAAATAAGCAAACATAACTGATTGTAATTAATAAAGAAAAAAAATGATACAAAAATGGCATATTTTATACCAGATGAGCGATTCAGGCTCTTTGGAGCCTCTTGTTTGTAATCTATTAATTGCTCATGCTGTGTATGTATCATATTATTGTGACCAATTGAATTGACCTTTCCGGGAATTATGGCCCTTTAATACGTAAAATGCTATAAAAGAAATAATACCTTGTAAATGCAACTCGTCTGGATCACTCAATATTATTGGATATATTTTGATCAAAAAGCAATTATAGAATTAAGTCTAAGTCTATTCAAAGTAACAACAGATAGTTAGTCCTTTCATTTCCTTTTATCTGATATTATGGAGAAATCAAAACTCAATTTCCCATAGCGCTTCAATGTAAACTTAGATCATCTTCTGGTGGCCTTTACGAATCTTAAAAGTAACAAAACTAGTTGCAGACTTTCACAGGAACATCCCTGTCAATTTCTTTTCACTTTGTTCCCAGAAGGTCTTTGAAAAATGGACCAATGGACTTCATCTGTTCTTGAAAAGAAAAGCAAAATGTAGTTTCCCACAAACTTTCAATGTAACACTTTGGCTTCCGCTGGTCCCCCATTTTAAATTCCAATCGACATTAAAATTACAACACGTGTTGAGGATGTTCAAAGCCTAGCCCTTCACACCAACACATCTTTAAAAATCGGACAAATTGGACTCCCCTTTTTACCCATTGAAGCCATAATGCTTTTTTAACGGGACAAGTTAACAGCATTAAGGAGCAGCATGGTTTCCTTTCCTTTCATTTGTTCTTAATGAGAAGAGCAAAATGTAATTACTACAGAGTTTCAATGTAAACTTTGGCTTCCGCTGGTGGTCCTTTGAATGTATGGTCAGAGCCAAAGTTAAAAACATTCCTTTATATACACGAACATGTCAAATATTTTGGTATTAATTTGTTCTGTCGTTCCCCAAGTTCAGCAAATTAGAAATCAGAAAGTCCCATGGAGAACTGTTTGTTTTCGAGTAGGCATCTAGATTTAGAACACTAGGTGGTGACCTTATAAGGAAAGCTTTGCTATGTCCGGTTTCAATCTGGGGGGGGGGGGGGGGGCTCCAGTCATGCTTCAGTGATTCCCTATATAATCAACCAAATTTTTCCCGCAAAAGGGGGGGCGGGCCCCCCCCCCCCCCCCCCCCCCCCCCCCCCCCTGGATCCGCCTATGATATGTCTAAGAGTCATTTGGCGGGAAATTTAGCAATTGACATTTTGAATCTTTCCGACATCAAAACTCATCTGATCATATTAATATGTTCTAGTATCTTCACTCTTTGTCTATTTGTACACAAATCAATTCTCAGAATCCTGATTTTTTTTTTACTACCACAGAAGTTGTTAGGCATATGACTTTATAAAAAATCCAACCAACAAGTATAAAATTTAAAATTTTGCAATTGTGAATGTTGAAAATTCTTTTGCGATGGCGGTATACAATTATTAACCATCCTTTCCGCTTATCAGTCTTTGAACCGCGCTGAGGCTCAATTAATAATAAATAAATAAGCTTTATTTAGAGTCGGCATAGTATACAAACAAGGACATAACATAAGCTCTAATGAGCTTTTAACCGACATACAAGACATAACAATACAATACATAATACAAAATAAAGCACTATAATTAAGCATGGTGGTAATAAGCAGATTATAAGCATGATAAGCTATATAGGTTTTAAAGCTAAAAGCATACTAGGTATTAAAGCTAAAAGCATACTAGGTATTAAAGCTAAAAGCATACTAGCTATTAAAGCTAAAAGCATATAAAACGTAAACTAAGCATGATTAGAAAGCTGGAAAAAAATGCATAGCATAAAATATTTTAAAATATAGGATATGATCTTAATGGTAAAAATTTAACCTAATATATTAATTTATAATCTGCACAAACTGTGCACTTACAGTCATTTCCATTCCTGGACCATGACTTTAGAATATTTTTAAAATAACTGAAATTAGCAATTTTTCGAAAATCATCAGGTAGATCATTCCATAAAACAGCAGCTGTATATTTAAAGGGGTTCTTACCATAGGTTGATGTTCGAACCCTAGGTATATCTACAATATTAGAATATCTAAAATTATATTTACAATCTTTCAAAACAACTAAATCATGTAAACATGGTGGTGACAATTTATATAAAATTTTAAAATATTCAATAGGCATGTTACGCATACGTCTAATTTTCATTGATGGAACATTTGCTCGAACAAGTAATTCATCGTACGAACTAACATAGTCTTCATATATAAATCTTAAAGCCCTTTCCTGATTTTTTTCTAATTTTGGTATTATTTTTGTTGCAAAAATGCCATGCCAAAGGACAAAAATTAAAATTAGAGAAAATAAATGTGTGAAAAATGGTCAATTTATTTAATTTAGTAAGATAGCAACCAATCACTTTAAAACATTCAGTTGTTGAGATGCTTTACGACAAATCTTTTTAATGTGGTGATTAAAATTAAGTTGATAATATCTTTACCTAAAAATTGACAATCTCATCGCATGATATTTTAGCTGACTGTATATTAAAAATAGGCTTCTTTTCCAATGTTTTATTTCCAACTGCAATGACTTGGAATTTATCAGGATTTGCCTGCATACAATTAAATTTAAACCAATCAATTCAGTTGGCTTTGACTCCAAAGCCTCAAATCGTTTGCCTCACTAGAAATAAAATATAAACTATGTCTCTATCTTTATACGCATAGGGAGATTTACCAAGATGCTTAGATATATTATAGCTGAATGAACTATGGAGTTGCCTCATTTGGATATAGGTATATGATGGAAGAGGACAACAGGTGGATCCCATAAGATTGTCCAGTGTCTGTTGAAAACCACGTCCACCAATTAATAACGTAACAAATATGTTGCTCATAAAAAAAATCAAGTATCATTCCAGGTTCACGTACAGTTCTAACCTCTTGTTTGAATCAAGAATATAATTTGTCTATACCTAAAACAATGTCAAGATATTTGTATCTTCATATATAGGTATTTTTATTATACAAACTTGAACCAATTAATCTCAAGTTAATAATGAGAAAAACGAGTGTAACTTGAGGTTAGTTAGGTAAAATGTTTGACATATTGTACATTCATTCTTGTATTCTCAATTTTTTATTGGTCAAATATCGATTAGCTTTATTGTCTCAATGGAAGCTACGCCACTGCTCAGAAAAAAGAAGAAATTACGTTATCGACATAAAATATCAAGTGAATGTTGTGATTCTCAAACTGAGGATTGACAGATTTCAGGGGAATCTCATCAAAATGTTGGCAATACAGAACTATATAAACTCTTTGCGAAATTTTATTTTTTGTGTTTTATGTCCTTTTTAATACATATTCTGTAATATTTTAACTTATTTGGTGTATATTTCCTCTTTTCCATACGGTATTACAAAAACAGTAGTGTGTAAATTTTAACTCTCTATAATAATATAGAAAGTCAAAATTAATTGTTATTGTGAAAATAATTTAAATATTACAGAATATTCACTAAAAAGATTTAAACCTGGGACTATTATATTATTAGTATAATATTAATAGTCCCAGTTAAATCACCAAAAAAAATATTTAGAAAAAAGGGGGGGTCCATCTCACTGGCGCCGGTGTCTAAAATCGGTTTGAAGCACAACACATTTAATTATTGACAAATAAATCAAATATTACAGAATATTTACTAAGAAGAAAATAAACACAAAACAATATTTAGAAAGAACAAAGACATATATAGTGTCTCTGGAAAGAACAAGCGACTGTGTCTAAAATCGCGTTGAAGCATGAACACATTGAATAAGTGAAAACAAATTAATTATTAACAAACTATTTACTATAAAAAATAAATCAAAACAATTTTTTTTTTTTTTTAAAAGGGGTCATTATCCGTAAAAATTTCGGCGTGTTTGTCTGGCGTGTCTTTTTCAAATTACCCACTTTTTTCCAAGCGTCTCAATAATCTACTATGATCAGCGGTGCGCTTTTTCGTATGACATTTGACTTTTAATTAGATGCGCATACATGATTAGTTGAAATTTCGACCAATGAAATATCGGCATACAGGTAACGTAGGTACAGCGGGGAGGAAGAACGGAGATTGAAGGAAGGAAGGTCCTTGGCTTTTGCGAGGGATCTCAATTATGTTCTACAAAGTCAGGTTAAAGATATATTCTGAAGAAGAAAAACATTCATATCTCCTCTTCATCAAGACGTAGATTTATCCTTTTGGTAAGTAATTAATCTCTTTTGGCATTTATGGTGGTACGTACTTTCTGAGAGGTCGTTGATCTCTTCGAAGAAAGCAAACTACAAAATTTCTCGTGTTATACGTTGTAAAACTATGTGAAAAAATAATACGAAGGAAAATAATAAGTAAGAAAGTTATGAACCTTTTCGTGTTTTCATTTTAAACATGAAACAAGAACATCGTATAATTCATCAGTGTAAGATGAAATCGAGGCTCAGCTTTTCCAAGATGGAGATTTTATGGTCCTAATAAATTATTTGGTTATGTATTGTGTTAGTATTGCCCGTTTTAGGGGCTTTTTACACAAGGAGGAAAAATGTATACGAACAAAAGTTTCATGAGTTGACTATACACTTTCCTTTTGAATCACATTACTCAGCATTGTATGTATTTGTGTACTTGGCAACAGGAAGTGGTTCTATAAATAGAATAAAATTTCTGGAAATTGAACGTTATTGTACCTGTAGGAAAATCCCATTTACTCAGAAAGCAGTATGCAGAGCTCCGAACTTATTTTGGTAAAATTATATTTAACAATCAAAATATTGGTACAACTTCAAAGTCTGAAGAAATCACACAAGATAATTTACATTTTCAGTCTTTAAACAAATTGTTTAAACATAATTTCATGAATTGGAATTAATAGTAATACTTTCTATTTTCTGTTTTGAAAGTTTGGCAATGTTTACCATAGCAATCTGGAAATATGCATTAACTTCTTTAAATGTACTTTTTTGTACATTGTATTGATGGATGAATATTTATACTTTCAATGTTGTCCAAATTTTCAGTGGATAAAACAAGGCAGTGTCTGCGCGTACCCGCATGCGGGTACGAATAGTCAAATTGCCATTCGTAGGCTGCGCGTACCCACATCCGGTTTTATAATAATATGGCATCGGATCAGGAATGAAACGTGAAATATATACGGAAATTATCGACAATATGGGGATTTCGTGTAGAACGAGTGAAGGGTATGAAAAATAATATTTTCAAATTGTATTTATTAGATTTAGATAATAATACATAATAAACATTGCAAATTAAATGCACACTGATGGAAAATGAAACTGTACAGTCCCTGTAAAAGAAAAACATGATAAAAATTAAAACTATTATAAAATGTAAATGCAAATTTAAATAATTAAATTTTACTGAATTTGAAAAATACACATATGAGATTAAAAAATAATCTTTTAGTAAAATGTAAAACAGAAACTGAAATTTTAAAATATCTTAAACGACTAAAATTAAAGCTTTGGTGTCTATATAAAAATTAAAGATGCAAGTAATAATGTCAAATTAAACCAATTTTAAAAGATTCATGTAACTAATTAAGATTTGGAACAAATTTTACATATCCAACAGGATTGTTTTGGCACATATTTCAACCCTGCACATTTCAAATGTTGTTTCTTTTATACAATTGTATAAAATTACTCGACTGATAGTTTTGAACAAATTGTTCCAATTCATGAAAACTTTGAAATGTCTTCCCCACATGTATATCACTCTCTTCCATTTTAAGAATATTTATTAACTGAGAAAAACTGTTCACTTACCTATATATAAATATTTATTATTATAAAACTTCTGAGAAGTTTTAATCAATTTATTCACTAATTGCGACAAATTCCGTATATATTTCACATTTAATTCCCGACCCGATGCCATATTATTATAAAACCGGATGCGGGTACGCGTAGCCTATGAATGGCAATTTGACTATTCGTACCCAGATGCGGGTACGCGCAGACACTGCCATAAAACAATAGTTTGATTAAAAAAGATAGTCTCTTTCATTTGAAAGGTACAAAGTGGTATTGAGGTAATCACATGATAAACAGTGTAGAAGAGAGAAATTCCCCAATAAATGTTCTATTGAGCAGGAAAAGAATGTCCATGTCATATTTTTCTATTATCTTTTTTCACTGTGTCATGAACAAAAAGGTTTTTAAAATGTATAATATGAAGTTTTTTTTAAGTACAATCATTGTTATTTCAGACTTAGAAATTAAATCAACAAATTCAACATGGGACTGAAAAGAAAATTTGATGAACCTGCAGAAACTGGAATTTTTCAGCGACAGTCAATACTAGATATTTCAATGTTCAAACTGCAATCAAGTCCTGTGAAAAGAGTTGAACCTTCGCTTTTAAGATCTGTTCTCATTCTCAATACACTGAAACACATTGAAGTTGAACTTCAAAAAGATGGAGTGCAGTCCAGTTTACCTGACAGTGCTTCTTTTTCACTAGATGACAATTCTGACATTTCAATGGACATTTTACCAGATTTACATGCAACTCATGATCATATATTGCAAAATGACACAAATGTGCTAAATACATCGAAGGCAACCACAAGTCCACTACCACCAATAGAAACTTTTGTAGAACTATCCAATGTTTCTTGTACTGGACCGAATGCATTGAAACCTCATGATGATAGAACAAGGTGTGATAAAAGTGACTTTTTCCAATCTCATCAGTTTCATTCAGCATCACCAATAAAAGTGGAAGACATGTTAGCAGATTTAGATTTCTCACAGACAGATTTTGACATTTTCTCAACTCTTGCCTCAAGCATGAAATTGACACCTCTTAGTGCTGAAGAAGTTATACATTCGTTCCCTGTTCACTCAAATGTCATCACAGAAAGTTATGCATCTTTGTTCAATGCCTCAGTAAACAGTTCTACATGTAAGGGTGAAGTTCTTCCAGAAGAAATTGAAAATATAATGCAAATTCTTGTAGGGACATGACACAAAAACATTTGTAGACCATATCTGTAGTGTGTCATTGTTCACAGTGGTGCCGGTAGTGGTTGTGAATCACATCCATGCCATATTGTGCAATTCTCATATTAATTTAAAATCATTATGACATGTTATGTATAGACTGTTGAGATTTTATATTTTGTTGTTTTTGAAACATTATAAGAAGGCATCAGAGTACTGCCATATAAAGACACATCTTAATTGTGCCTAAAATTCAAACCAGTTTATAAAACATTCCAAACCAGTTTGTATTTTTTTATGTACTACTGTTAGTTTTATACATGTGCAAGTACATGTAAGATGCATTAAATTGTTCTTGCTGAGAAGTGTAAAATAATCTACTTTTCATATTTTTGTACATGTGATTATAAATGGACGAGGTAGTTGCTTATCAAAGCCTTAGTCAGTGCTCATGCCTTGCTGTTACATTTACAATCCAACTTTACATTTGAAGTTGGGATTGAAGTTTTAATCTAGAAGTATTATCACAAAAGTTGTTATACACTGTATTTAAAGCTTAATTGTGCATTTTACATGGCACATACAGTTTTTTGTTCAAACTGAGCTATTGTATACTTCAGGTGCGTACATGTAGATGGTACACATTTGTGTGATATGGTAAAGTACATTACATTTTGTGTCTTTGAAATGGAAGATAGATAATATCTATTTAGAAAGTGCTTAAATTTAAATGACCATAAGAGTAATGAGATTTGATAAAAGCTCATTTAAATTTAACTTGTAAAAACCAACATATGCTTTATGAACAAATGAATTTTAAAGACATTTTTGAGGTCATGTGTAGAACCTACAAAGAAAGCCCTATGAAGATAATGGAAAAAAATTCTATATTCCAAGGGTGATGCAAAATTATTAAGATACATTGTCTTATTTCACTGGTTATTCTGAAAAATTGAAACTGATTTTGTAAAGCTGAAATAAAGGTAATCAAATAACAATTGATTTATTCTACTTGATACTGTGCAATATGTTCAAAACTGCTGAAATGGTCACATGTTTTATTCAAAAAGAAAAGTGCATTCAGCTTGTTAATTCAAGTAGTCAAATCTTATGCTTGCCTGTACATTGCTAATATTTATAAATACATTTGCTTTGGCCTTGTTAACAGCATGTTTTGATGACAGCCCTCAGATGAATACATTGTATGGGCATAATACTTGTTTAACCATTGTATGTAAATCAAGTTCTGGGATTTCACTTATTGTTTTTGCATTAAAAAGCACAAAGGAAACAGAATTTTTTTAATAAATTCATGCTACATGTATAATAACTGCAAAAATACATGTTTAACATTTGTACTTAACTTCAATATGATATACTTAATGATTTGAAATGGAAACATATAGGCAATCATTTAAATAATGATTTTTCTTGTGTTATCTAAGGATTAATTGCATATACTATGTATACATTTAAATGTTGAAAATCGTTAGTTTTGGAACAGATTACATTTTTCTTTGTATTGACAATTGTTGATTTTCAGTCTGTTGCAGGCATTCATAAAATGACTCAAGTTAAACAGTTCTTATGCAGATCTAAATTTGTAAATTAAAAGTTTTGACAAAGTTAAGAATTTCAATTGGTGCCAAAACCATTAAACCACAGCCTGTTGCTAGTGAAAAATGAAAAACAAAATGGTTAAGACATATTAATGTAGTTTGTAAAAAATGTCTTTTTTTGCAGGTCAGTGTAACATTTTTTTTTAAAAGACTGGAATTTAAGGAGATTTACTGCATTTGAAAGAAGCAATTACATTCGGTATACTAGTGAATATGAAAATAGTATATAATAAAATATTTGTTGAGATTTTTTTTTTCTTGTAACTTTTTGACTCTTCTAATTTGAAAACTAACAACCACAATTTTTGTATACTCTGTGAAAAATACAAAAACCACGTATTAAATACATTTGGATCCTAAGAATTGTTATCTGTGAAATACTGTATTGACTGAAATGCTAAAGTCTAATATTTTGTGTAACACCAAATGTATGATTACTATACTGAACAGATTATCCATCCATATTACTTACAATGATATACTTCTCAGTATGGTGAATAATTACTGTGTCTGTATTTTACTTGAGTTTTAAGTTGAATTTTTAAATCAGGGTGTTTTTACTTGTTTTTTTTAAACAAACTTGTAATTTTACACGAATATTTTGTTGTGAAGTTGTACATTTCATTAGTATTCATTGGATATGTTTATAAATGGATCATTATTTATTTATTGAAGCCATGTTTTCATGCATTTTATCATGTTTGAGCCAAATCAAGAATATTTTATTCTTTTGATATATGCAATTATTTATTGTTCATTGACATTTGTATGATAAGTACTTTTATTTATTTTTGTACAGAAGGCATTTGTTAAGAATCAAAGATCTATGTATGTCATAGAAAAAATTATAATAGTGTTTCTTGTTAACACAGACAAAGATGTTTATGATCTCAAAGTATAGTTATAGATGTAGTTTTTAAGATGTAACCAGAGGGTATTGATCTGCAGCCAGGGTTAATTGTCTCTGACCCAATAGTAATCCTAAAAAACTAGAGGTAGATCACTCTAATGCCAGGAAGTCCAAAGACTTTTTTCTTAAATTTTGACAAGCCCATTTTGTCTCATATGTGTATATTTATCATGCCTATACTTATATTTAAGTGAGTTGTCATATTAATAGATTCGGATAATGAAGCTTTATACATGAACAGGGTTAAAATATGACCAGATATTGCATAACTCCAAGGCAAATATAATGTTAACTGAAAGACTATTTTTCCGTCTCCAATTTTTCAGAGAAGAAAAATGATTAAAAATATTTTTCTTTGTCTTGGTCCAAACTTTGCCAGTTGTGCTAAACAAGACATAGTGATATTTCTTTTTTAAAGGTCAGAATATTTGTTCTGTTTTGACTGACATTTAATCATTCCTGAACAGAATTAGCTCCCTTTACAACTATGCCAAGATCTCATCTTTAATATCAACAAATAAAGATTTAATTTAGCACTTTTTTTGTTTTAATATATGTTTTAAAATTCATTGTCGATTCAGTTGAAGAAATAGTATCAATTTGAAAATCTAGCAAATCATATTTTTTGTTTTAATTCAAGTGGGGAAAATGTAAAAATAAAAAAGATTAGTTTGGTATCCCCAGATTTTCAAAATAATGTGAAATGGCATTTGTATTGATATGATTAAGTAGCTTCTTTGCTGTGTAGTTTTCTTTTTAAACCAAAAAGTAAAACCTTTGTAGCAATATTCTTTTTGAAGTAATTGATGGCAGTTGTTGGCAGCTTGTTGAAGGGAGTAATGTGTGATAGAATCGTTGATGTGATGTACATCTACAGCAATACTTTTGTATATATATATATAAAGGAATAATTTAAAACATGTTTTGTTAATTGTAAATACTATATTATGAATTCTATTACTCTATATTATTATATTTATAGCATACTTAAATGATCTGATTTTGTAAATATGTTTTTCTGCCTTGTACATTTTGTTGATACTAGTCAGTTTTAGTTTGCAGAAGTAGGTAGCTATGTCTCTTTTTTGGGGGATGGGGGACAGATATTTCCTCTCTAAAAAGTTGCCTTTTTACCAAAGAAAATTACTCCAATGTAGTACATCCCATTGAACAGAATGAGTTTGAGGCTAACATATAAATGTAATAAACTGTATGGTACAAAGGTCAAATTGTTTATTTGCCTTAGAAATATGCATAAACAACTTGTATTTTATTATTGAAGAAACACTGGTGAAATTGGAAAGCAATCTGTAAGAAATATTCAACTATAAAATTGTATGAACTACCCCTATGATAATATTAACTGAAACAGACACTCTGTTTATTGCCATAACAAAACAAATGAAAGGAATACAAATTTCTCTTTTATTTTGCCAGTCTAATTTTGCATGATATAGGGATTACCTGTTACACTTCCTGCCAAACTACAAATGAGACTTTATAAGCAAGTCTTTTTTACAAGAAGCACTATAAACAGTACAGACAGACACATACATGTACCATGACAAATCATTGTGATAGTGGTATTGCTACATGGTACAATGTCCCACCTAGGATAGTAGGGGGCATTCTGATTCAGGTCGGTACATTGCTCATTTGGTCTACTGTATCAGGTTGAAGTTTCGATTTAAGGTAGTTAACAATGTTGTGGTCAAATTGAAACTTAGCACACAAATGTTCATTATGATGTGAACTTTTTAAACTATATACTAGTATGCAAATTAATGGTTTTACCCAATTTCACAGTTCACTGAACATGGAAAAGTGAAAGTGAGAGGGGTACATATCCTTGTTGTTTTCTTTTTTATTAATCATCTCTGACGAGTGTACCAACCTTCCCAATGACTTATCATGATGTGCAACAATAGTCTGCTTCAATGCAATGTCATTTTTGTATTGAATCTCCATCATTGCTCTGTTTAGATATATTTTATGCTACAGAACTTATCAATGTGCTGAACATTTTTAACTGCTCTTTATTTATGGTTAAATAAAAGAAAACATTCTTAATAATAGGTCAGTAAAATAGAACCAATTCCAAACGTGATTTAATATCTGTACTTTCTGATAAACAAGTTTAGATTTAAATTTAATATATGAATGATACTTAATTTGATTTTCATCTTAGAATTACATAATACATGTACATTGTGTATGTCAATATTCAAACTTGTGTTTTTTTTTTAAATATCCTTAGGGGGAGGGATGGGACACTACTCTGTTCAAAATTGATTCAATATTTTTTTCTAGATATACTGGTATGTACTAATGATTACATTTTAACTGCAAGTTATGAATTTATTTTAATTGGTTGTAAATTGTTTTTGTATTGAATTTTACTGAGAAATGATCAACTTTTAATAATTTTTATTGGGAAAATGAATTTCAAGGGGTATATACAGATGACAACTGAATTCTGATGGCTTGTTTTTTTTTTTTTTGTAAGTCAACCCTTGTCTCTTTTACACTTCATACCATATTCATGTCATTACTGTATTATAGAGAAATATTTTTGCAAACAAATTGATAGATTATATATGTTAATAAATATTTTATACCTTGTCATGTTTTATCAATCAGCCAGCCATTATTAGTTGCTGTATTTTATTCATTTACTGACAAAAATTCAAGTGACATTTATATTATATCAAAAATAACATTGATTGTCACTTTTGAGGTATTTTCTCGTATGCTGACAGAAAAGTAGCTGTAAGTGACAATTGAAACTTGCCTGTAACACTTGTTGCTCAGAATGAAATAAATTTATAAAAAAAAAAGATTTGATATGATTACCAATTAGCCAACTATCACCAGAGACTAAATTATATAGATGTAAGCAACAATAGGTCACTGTACAACCTTCAACAATGATCAATACACATACCATATAGTTAGCCCTAAAAGGCCTCAACATGACAAATGTGAAACAATTCAAACCAAAAAACAAATAATTATGAACAAAGTAAAAGACTAATGATCACCACTCAATTATAAGCTTCTGACTTGGGACAGACAGATTTGGAATGGTGCTGGGTTAAACATGTTTGCAAATCTCCATGGTTCCCTTACATGTGAGTGATGTAACAGCACAACTTCAATGAAAAAAAACTTGGACTGAGTATCTGAAAGTTAGTTCAAAACCGGTCATAACTATTTAATAAATCATGTTATATTGGTTCGACAGCCTTTAAATACATTAAAAACAAAATTCTGGGTGTAGGTAGTAGTTCTCTCAAGTTCTGCTCATGTTGATGCACAGTAAGTTGCAAGTTTGTTTTTTTGAGAATGTCAGATAGTATTTTCCTGATAATAAGTTGATAAAAAATATAGCTCATGTGCAAATTTTCATTATAAATGTACGGTACATAATTTTAATAAAATATAACAATTTCATGGTCATTAATTATCAAAAGAATTGTCATTACCAGAAGTCCATTACTAGAGGCATTACCCATTTTTGTCTTAAACCTATAAAGTAAGACTTATACATGCTGTTCCCATTGGCAGTGTCAACATTGTATTAGTTTGTGATTAGGTCAGTATAATGGGAACCATTAGTGATTGGTAAATGATAATTGGTATGCAGATGTGTTGGCATTGGCACATCTCATTTCCATGGAGATTATTTTGCTCCACCCCATTGTTTATTGACAAATGCTTTGCATAGTTTACATTGTTCAAGTTTGTGATTAGAGCAGGTTAAGATTAACCCCTAATGTTAAGTCAATGATATTTGGTATGTAGTTGTATCAATGTATTATCATTTGCAAGTCTCCTTTTCCATGAAGATTATATGACCTTGCCCCCTCATCATGGTTCAAACTTTGAAAATTTTAATGGATATCCTACTTGGTAAAAATATTTATCTTTAATTTAACCTGCACAGACACAACTTTTAAACTGTTATATTAACTAAAAGACAACATTTCTACTTTGAAAGTTCTCGTGACTAGAGCATACCGGTATACTTGAAAGCTTAGATGTATAAAAATAGGTATAATTAAGGAAATTGTATCATGCTAAGGACTGTGTGCAACACTCCAAAACTGGTGATCTGAAAGACCTTCAGATTTTGTATGATCATAATTTTTATGCTCCCACCCTAGCGGAGGGGGCATTAAGTTTTACCCTTATCCCGCTGTACGTCCCGAAATTGGTTTCCTTCTCTAACTTTAGTTTAACTCAACCAAATTTTATGAAACTTGTACACAATGCTTATTACCACAAAACACAGATCATGTTTGAACTTGGGTGGCGTCACTTTTACTGTTCTAGAGTTATGCCTTTTAAATATGGAAAAATTGCTGATTTTTGTTGTTTCCGTTCTCTAACTTAAGTTTGCTATGGAGCCCTTTCAACTATGTTTACAAGTTATTCTTTTTTTGTGCTGTTTCAGCTTTGTCACAGTTTTGTGGATGATTGCTCGTTCATAAACATGTTTAAACTATGACATTTTATGTTTGTCTGTTTCGAGTCATGGGTCCGTAATTCAAGGCTTGCATCGATACCCGTCTGTCAAATTTTTGTTGTTGATTGTTTCTATGTATGGGCTATGGTGGATATGTAGTTGTCTCCTTGACAATCGCACCGATCGCGATCAATCGCGCCATAAGTATTTGAATAAATGATGCACCAAAAAGGACCACTCTTATTCATCTTTTTTTTATTAATACCTGTAACGTCTATGTTATAAGTTAAGCCATTTCAATTGATATTTGTGTGTCTTTTTAAGTTGTAATGTTACACTACTGTATCAGGTTAGGGTGAAGGTTGTTCAGTGGTTGTCGTTTGTTGGTGTTGTTCATAGATGTTTCTCGTTTTTTATATAAATAAGACCGTTGGTTTTCCTGTTTGAATTGTTTTTTTGGGACCCTTTATATCTTTGCTGTTAGGTGTGAGCCAAGGCTCCGTGTTGAAGGCCGTACTTTAACCTATGATTGTTAACTTTTTATACATTGTGACTTGGATGGAGAGTTGTCTCATTGGCACTCATACCACATCTTCTTATTCATATTTGGAAAAAAATGAATCATAATTGTTTCGTTTGTTTTCAAAATATTCCACTGAGGTATACATTTTCATTGACTATTCCTAAATTGGTTTGTAACATTTCAGTTTCATAATGTATACCAGGAACATATATATTGTTAGATATACTGTTCCCAGTGTATACGGACAACATTCTGTAACTGCGAGTACTCTCAGATCTGTACTTAGTGTCTTTTTGTTGGTTGGATGTACAAGTACCCGGCCACGTCCCACTTGTATTTGTAGTATTTGTATTTTTATCCATCTGATGAGTTAAGCCTCTTTCAACTGATTTTTATAGTTCGTTCTTATGTTGTACTGTTACACCACTGTCCCAGGTTGGGGGGGGGGGGGGGGAGATCCCGCTAACATGTTTAACCCCGCCACATTTTGTATGTATATGCCTGTCCCAAGTCAGGAGCCTGTAATTCAGTGGTTGTCGTTTGTTTATGTGTTACATCTTTGTTATTCGTTCATTTTTTTGTACATAAATTAGGCCGTTAGTTTTCTCGTTTGAATTGTTTTACATTGTCATTTCGGGGCCTTTTATAGCTGACTATGCGGTATAGGCCTTGCTCATGGTTGAAGGCCGTACGGTGACCTATAGTTGTTAATTTCTGTGTCATTTGGTCTCTTGTGGAGAGTTGTCTCATTGGCAATCATACCACATCTTCTTTTTTATATGTAAAATTTTATCATGAAATCGATCAAAAATAGATACTTGTGACCTATTGCCATCTCTCTTCTATTAATCAGAATGAAATTAAAACTTGACCTGAAACATATTTACACAACTCTTAAAAAGTTTACATATTAATAAGCATACTGTTTCAAGTCAGGAGCCTGTTATTCGGTGGTTGTCGTTTGTTGGTGTGGTTTATATGTTTTTCTCGTTTTGTATTAGAGTAGACTGTTGGTTTCCCCGTTTAAATTGTTTATCAATAGTCATTTTGGGACCCTTTATAGTTTACTGTTTGGTGTGAGCTAACGCTCCGTGATGAAGACCGTACTTTAACCTATAATTGTTAACTTTTAATACATTGTGACTTGGATGGAGAGTTGTCTCATTGGCACTCACATTACATCTTCTGATTTATATATGTACTCAGTTTTACCTTGATTTGATCACAACTTCATGGTGAACTTCTTATACTGATCACACCGTCACATTTCAATTATGAACAGTAAATTTTGGGTCAAAACCTTACTTAAACATGATCAAACATAGTAATCTTTTAATAAAGAACTTGTACGCGTACTTAGTTTTAAGTCGATTATATCTTCAGAGAAACCACAGAATGTATTTAAGTTGATGACACTACAACTTCATCATAAACAAGAAATGATTGTAACAGGATGCTGTTACGAAGTCTCCCAAACGAAGCTCCCATAATTCGTAATTCCCAGGGTCGCCTGACATTGGGCAACGTCCAGTGAAAATTGGTTTGGTCCAGTAAAGTTATATGCATTAGTGATGCCTGGGGACTAACCTTGTATATCATTCAAATCATCTTGGCATGACAAACCAGAATATATATGGTTTAGGGGTGGGGATCTTGACCACTTAAAAGATATTAGAACTTTCTTAAATGGCAGGGGGTGGGGGTGACCCCTGGGGACTAACCCTGTATTACATTTGATGTGCTTTATCATGACAAACCAGAATATATATGGTTTAGGGGTGGGGATCTCGACCATTTACAAGATATTAGAACTTTCTCAAATGACAGGGGGTCGGGTTGACCCCTGGGGACTAACCCTGTATATCATTCAAACCATCTTAGCATGACAAACCAAAATATATATGGTTTAGGGGTGGGGATCTTGACCACTTACAAGGTATTAGAACTTTCTTAAATGGCAGGGGGTGGGGGTGACCCCTGGGGACTAACCCTGTATTTCATTTAATAGGCTTTATCATTTAGAACATTTTCAATTAAAAAGATTGTGTCTATCGCAAACGGTTTTCAATTTATAATAATTTGAAAATTAAAAAAAAAAATCCCATAGGGTTCTATAGTAAAACCATTTACAAGATACTAGAACATTGGGGGTGGGGAGGAACCCCTGGGGACTGGCCCTATACGTCATTCAAATGTTCATTACATGACGAACAGGAATATATATGGTTAAGGGGTGGGGATCTCAACCATTTACAAGATATTAGAACAGGGGGGTGGGGGGAACCCCTGGGGACTGACCGTATACGTCATTCAAATGTTCGAGACATGACAAATAGGAATATATATGGTTTAGGGGTGGGGATCTCAACCATTTACAAGATATAAGAACTTTCTCAAACGGCAGTGGGTCGGGATGACCCCTGGGGACTAACCCTGTATATCATTCAAACCATCATCACATGACAAACCAGAATATATATGGTTTAGGGGTGGGGATCTTTACCACTTAGAAGATATTAGAACTTTCTTAAATGGCAGGGGGTGGGGGTGACCCCTGGGGACTAACCCTGAATTTCATTTGATGTGGTTTATCATGACAAACCAGAATATATATGGTTTAGGGGTGGGGAT